CAGGCAATTCGCGCGGACTTGCATTTCTTGCGTTTTGCTGCTTTCCTCACTCTCGTCGTCATTCTCGTTTCCTTCGCGCAAAATTTTTATGAAAGGCAGAACTCTTTCTTCTCGATTAGGTCTGCATGCGTCACCACACGAAAAAGACGTGCACTTCAACAGCGTGCGGTATCGCTCTTAGACATGGTTAAGCGTGGTCCACACTTCAGTTAGGGGCTACAGGCCATTAATGTTTGCAGAAGAAACACCCGCTTCCGTCTCCGGCAAAGCTGCCGAGTTGGGCCGAGAAGTCGGGAGACCGGCGTCGGTGTGGTCGAACCAGTTTTGTATGACGCGGTCGCCGAAATAACACTCTACGCCGCGGCAAGAATATATGCAAGATAAAGAAAATTTATTTCTGATGCTTATTGGCCGGAAAGTGTGTGCCCGACTTTTTGAAAGAGCGACGCTGCGATTTTCGAGCTTCTGGGTTTTGAACTATACAGCTCTTGGTTTAAAAAAATATTGTGGACCACTACCTAAAACTTTCGTTATTGCGGCAGTGCAGGGACGTAGACAGAATGTTTTATTTTCTGGGGAGGGGGGTGGCACTTTTTTTTTATTTCGGTGGTAGCATCCGCTTAAAATGGTCATCTTTCACTCTGTATGCCATGGCCAAAAGAACTTTGGGGGGAAGGGGGGCACGGGCTTGTAGTGCCACCCCCGGGCCATGCATGGCCGTTCGCCAGGGCCACTCCGAATTTCGTCGTTGCCACGTTCGTTCCTGGGCGTCCATCTTAATCAGGGAGTCAAGGGGGGTTCAACCCCTTTGCCCAATTTTTTTTTCTAATTTTGCTTGCGTATATATACACACAAACGAACACACACAACATACGACTGAACCCCCCTCACTCCAGCGACAAATTTCTGGCTACGCCCCTGGAGTAGTGATAAATGATCACTGTCAAAAAGCGAAGCGATGTAGGCGGGATGATATGAAGCACCAACGTCATGATGGCAATCACTTTTGGATACTAACACGGGAATGAGGTGTTTGCGTGATTTCACACGGAAACCCAGCCTCATGTTCAAGTTGCGCTGACACTTGAAAGGTCCGTTTGAGTAAACTGGGCCCGGTGTTAACAGGGTTGCCGCTTGTCGCTACATTGCAGCCCTCCTAATACATTGCGCCTTACGACCACATCTGATCACAAAAAATAATAATAAAAATGCGAGATTGACTCCACGAACGAGTACTTTCTGGCTGCCTACGAGTCATTTGGCGCCTTTAGTATTCATTTCTTTTCGCCGCTAAAATAACAAGCAAGCCTAAAGACGATCGACCAGCTATTTCCAAGTGTTAGCCAGCTCGCTTGAACGTTCTCCTCTGCCAACTTTTACTGGCGCGCTTCAATGCACCCGAACGCATCGCATGGCCGCGCCCGCAAAGACAGAGTGACGAAATTGAGCGCATGTTGGTAAATTCGGGGCTATCGCTCAAACAGAGATGCGGCCACAACAACTTACTGAAGCTGGACTGGTTATATGGTACTCTGCTGACCAAGTTCGCTCTGTGGCCTCAAAGTAAAGGACATCTAACAACACCTAAAAAAAAAAATGAGCGCGTTATTCTCTTTTGAGGTCATCCTGATTACGTGACGTCATGAGGAAATACGCTCTCGATGGGTCCATGTACGAGATATATCAGTTGTTACTTGTCAATGCCACCTATAGGTCTGAAATTATCTATAGATAATTTGGCAGGCCTGCTCACTGTGTCTGCCAAGGGCATGACGTCACTCCGTTTGACCGGTGTGTTTCACTGCACAGATGTGCCTATATACGCTTGCTCTCGTCGCTCGAATACACGAAGTGTCAAGCTCGACGAACGTTTTAGTGGCGTGCTGGTGTGCTTGTTGGCGACTCGAGAAGACCGTCTTTTTCTGTGTCGGTGAACAGCAGTGAGTATATGTGATGCGTTTTGGGCACGGGATATTCGCAATCCGTACAGGCTGCAAATCCGAATGGTTTGGCGATGCTGCTTTGCGAATCGTCGCGGCAAATGAACCGAAGTTGAGTGTGTTCTCGTTGCCTAAGGACAAGCGAAGGAGAAAATGGGGGTGTGTCGTTCGTCAAGCTGACGTCGACAACATCCGCTTTTTTCGTGACCCGAAGGTACGTGTGTCTGTACTATTCAAAGTCATTTCAATGGACCCATCTCCACCATGCATGTTCCGTTCTTGCTTTGTAAAATAAGGGTACCACGTGCGCCTTCTGACTTGCTGGCGTAAGTCATGGCATTAAAGTAATAAACGCGTGTGACAGTAAGCTCAGAACAGGCGTTTTTCCCCTCGGGTTCAGTAAACATGTTTCTATTGGCGATTAGCGCCGATGATTTGTTGTATTACTTCTGTTCACCGTTAAATATTGTTTCACTCAGCTGGAATGAATGCTGCTGCTTTGCTTAGTACATCGGTTTTATGCACAGTATCTTCTTGCCGGTGTTCCTGCCACATTATTGTGGTCAGCACCTTAGCCTAGTATGTTTCCTTGAAATTTAGATGCGTGTGGACACTCACGGTAAAGCGCTTTCTTAATTGGTTTTCATGAGTGTGATTTCTACTTCACGCTTGAATATTTAAGAATCACTACCAACAATGTACCGATCCACACGCGCTGCAGTAGAACCGCTCACGGGGGCTACACGGTTTGATATAGGCCCAATAGTAACATTTTTTTCCCAGGTCCTAAGTTATACGACCAACAGCGCACCATTGCCAGAGGGGCCAGAGCAAAAGAGGAAACGCCGCTTCTTGTGTCTGTCACAAGAAATTTTTGTGAAATGAAAGATTTTGTTTTCTCTTGGTATGGTCTTCACCCTGATGTTGTGCTGAATAACATACTTGTGGCAGCAGCACACACTCTCCTCATTAACTATACGTGTCTATGGAGACAGATGTTCGAAAGAGTGCAAATGAAACTGCAGAAACTTTGCAAGGAACAGTTCCTCTGCATGCTCTAGATAGTGTGTGTGTTTGGTGCGTGCACGTGTGTGTGTAAATAAATAATGAATACAATTTACCTTATTTCTCTCGTCACTTTGTTGGTTCATCAAACCTTGCTCCTATAGATCGACCATACGTTCGATAGCGTAGAATCTTTGAATTTTTCGTGGAATAAATTGCTCACAGGCAAGTCCCCAAACGCTTTAATACATTACTTAAACCAGCGCCCTTTTTGACCCAAAACGCAGAACAAATCTGTGAAGCATGTAAAACTCGCCGAGAACTGCAGACGACGGTTGCAATGAATTCACAGACTCCCGTACGCGCGTTCGCTCTGGCAAAACGAGTGACGTCACAGCGGCAGTGAGCACGCCCGATAATCTTCTCAAGGTGGCATTGTATACTTGTCTCCTAGCCTGCTTCGCCATGCAATCGCACGACCGTGCACTCTACCTTATTTCGCCCGATTACCACGCGCGATAAATCGATTTCACCTCGTTTTGCGCGTTGTGCAGATAACAGCGTGCAGCCAAAATCCTGAAGCTTAGTGGTTGCATTGCCCAAGTGCTTTTATGAGAAAAACGTGGCGAGGAACATATAGCGTCTGCAGTAAAGCCAGTAAGCGTAGGCTTACGCAAGAGATGGGGGTAAGGGGGTGAAAGGCGGCCCTTCACCTAGCTATCTTAGAGGGGCGGGGGGCGGAAAGTCGGCCCCACACATTGAAAGGGAGAGGTAACTAATGATTGATTTGTGGGATTCAACGTCCCAAAACCACCATATGATTATGAGAGACGCCGTAGTGGAAGACTCCGGAAATTTCGACCACCTCGGTGTTCTTTAACGTGCACCCACATCTGAGCACATGGGACTACAGCATTTTCGCCTCCGTCGAAAATGCAGCCGCCGCAGTCGGGATTCGACCCCACGACCTGCGGGTCAGCAGCCGAGTACATTAATTTTATCCAGAGAAGAGGGAACTAAGCGACAAACTTTCGCTCTCCTTTGAAGGGGAGCCCTGCGCGTGCCAGCGAAGGCGAAAATGAAATTTTCCCTCTGTATCGTTTTCGAAATCAGAGTCCATGATTTGGGGCTTTTTAATGTTCCTGGTCACTTGCTGGCTGTAATATTCTGAGATTAATCTATCTCTCTAGATGAAACTCAGTGGTGCACACCAACGACATGCGCGGGTACATAACTAATTCACATTTATTTATTTCTTTGTAGCCTACCCGTGGTTTCAACTCCACGCAAGATGAAAAAATTGCGCTCCTGTTTACATGTTCCCGTTTATCCGTGATTATGTTATTTTTTGTTGTACGATAAAAAGTGACTTTCGCACAGAAAGGTGGAGCGCTAAATGTGATTGGAAAAAAAACTTATAACGTCGCGAAGAAGCTATGGCTAGCAGTTACAACTCCAAAACTCTGGGAATAACTATACAGTATATTCTCAGAATGCGGACGCTCGAGCGAGGAAAGTGGTTTTTCGCTCCGTTGCTTCAATGCGTACAATGGTATGAGCAACGCGTACAATGGTATGAGCCACATATTGATCTCGGTCGATATAGCGCGCGGCCGCGCCCTTTTGATCAAAGTTCGCGGTTGCTACCCGAACAACGCAGCTACCTTGGCCGGCGCCCCTTCCGTCTCTGCTTGAGCGGTGCCTTTCTGCAGCCTCCGCAAGCTTTATCGATTTCACCTTGGTTCAGAACATGATGGTGACGACAGGAATGTGCTTCGAGTGTCAAATTTAATTGATATATCGCAATAATATTAGCTCATCCAGTTTTGTAATGCTCACGCTGCATGAAGTGCAACGTGCTGCTTTTCTAACTGTTGAAAAAAAAAGTGTTGTACCGACTTTATTTCTAACGTGCTCTCGCTTAAACGGAGCTTTTGTGGTATTGTTGAAAAACAAGCTGCTAACACGTGTCCATTTGTGTTTCTATTCAGTGTTCCTATAAATGTAGTTGCATGCTCTCCCCTCCTTATATCGCACACTATCATTTGCGTGCAGGTGTACGTTCCAGGCATGAACTGGGGTGACCGCATTCGGCAGTACAACAACTTCATTTCGGGCAACACCGAGCCGCTGAGCATCAGCTCTGACGACAGCATCTGGGACAGTGACTGCGAGCAGCGTGCTGGAGAAGGTGACAACGGGCTCGTCGAGGAGCGGGACAACAGTCCGCTTCAAGGTACAATAAGTGCTTCCGTCATGTTTATGCGATAGCGATATCTTTATCTGCTATCGTGGGAAGTCTGGATAACTTGACCCTTTGTTTTACGTCCTTTCAGAACAGATTTGATGCTTAACCATGTGTTTAAGTGTAATTGTTGGAACACCGAAATTTATTTTTAGAAAATGAGCACGCTTGAGCTGCGCCTACAAGAGCAGATCGCGATAGCGTAATCGGGCGTCGTACCCGTCGCCTCGCGAACTGCTAGCCAGCTTCGGTTCTCGGTGCATGCATCAGCGTAAGGAAACGAACGACTGTGCGCGAAACGTCGGCCATTTTGTTCGGGAAAGGGCGCAAAGCCAGCTTTGTGCATTGACATTTATAGGCAGGGAGGTGATGGGGAGGGGGGGGAGGTGCAATGTCAGCGCCGTCCGTACATTGACATGATGGGAACGGGAGCCACAGTGACAAACCTCCTCCCCCCCCCCCCCCCCCCGAAGGAATATCCTGCGCACGCTTATCTTGATGTCAGTGAAGTTACAACGCTGATTTTTCCGGGAGCTAGTGCTCCCAGGCATGATCCCAGGCAGATGAACCAAGATGACTCCAGGCAGGTCGAGCTAAATGAGATAGAAACTCCGATGCCTATACGTTGCAGGCACTTCTGGACGCGCCGTAGCTCTCTTGCAATCAGTGAATTAAACACGAAGCGCCAAGCTTAAATTTATTAGAGATTCACAATATGAGCCGTAATCAGGATGCGAATGGCACACAGGTATACTCCGAAAGCGCGCATCGCAACACGTTTGCTCATAATCAGCACAAACGTTTGGCTTTTCCAGCTCGTCTATCAGATGGTGGTGGCGTTCTGCCCGACGCGTCCGAAAGCGACTCGCGCTGCTCGCCACCCTCTCCCTGGCGCCCGTTGTGCATGCACGAGCCACCGTAGCGTGACCATGGCCTCCGAGATGGCGGGCGCGAACCAGCCACGCGCCTGCCATCTCGGAGGCCAAGACGTAACCTATGGAGTTTACTGTATACGCTAGAGAGAACTCTGGCGCTAGTGTCTATGGGAGCTGCAACGCACGGCGCTTCAGCGAGCATGGGAATTATGGGTAGTACACGAATTTGTCTAATCTTCGTACTTCTGGCTCCGTTTGTGTTCGTGTGGCTTGGAGCTGTTTTCTTGCGAAACAAAAAATCAGTGAATGTTCAGCGGTTGCGCTTCACCTCCTTAATCTTTTAGGCTTTCCATTTCAAATCGGGTCACAAAGCTGAAAAGGGTTCGTTCTTTCCTTCAAAATCAGACCGAGGAATAAACGACAGTTAGTGACTGCAGGCAGATCAATATTATGAACACTGCACCCGCATTACAAAGTATCTTCGGACTAGAATGACCCGAGTTCTAATGTCAACTACAGTATAAAACTTTTTTTGAATATTTCATGTGAGTGCGTCAAGGGCGATTCGTCGCCCGCAAGTACAGACTAGGCGAATTCGTGTACTACTCATCATTACCATGGTAGTTGAACGATCGCAGCGCCAGAGTCCCCTCTGGTTAGTTTTAGGAAAGCCAATGGCGTGACCCAACCTTGCGATGAAAAGCCCTCTACTCTTTCCTACTTCCGGCTTCGCAGAATATGACGCAACGCCCTTTCCTCAGTTTATTCCTTCCTCCATACCCCAGAGAAAAAGATGCTCCGCATCTAGAAGTAAGAACTTACGTCACATGTACAGGGTGGCTCGTATTTATAAATGTGATTCTAGAATTGGCTAACCATTTTTAAATATCTATAGGTTTTAAAAAAAGCTTAATGACTTACGGTTGTATAATTTGTTGAAATTGGCCGAAAAATTGCCGAAGTTCCCCTTTAACCAGCTATAGCACCTGAAATAGCGACCACAGTGACGTCAATGCAAGCAATGTAAACGCGGCCCTGTGGCTCGCTAAGCCCCAACCCACGGTTATCTCGACTATGGCGGCTATAGTGACATTACTACACTGGCGCCCAACGCGGGGCCAACTTTTTGCGAGCACTGGCCGTAAATCATATTACCGCAGTTTCCAAGTTTTACTTTACTTTAACCACTACGACACTTTTGAGCTTGTGAGGAGCCGCAACAGAAAGAGGCGATTTCTGAGCACGTCACCCGATTTGAGTGGGTCCACCATACAATCCTCGCGGACCCATCCTCTTCATGCCAGCTCTTGCTAGTGACTTATGTTCTTGTCACTTCCTGTTCAGCTGATGTTCTGTGCTTGTACACGTCTGCTTGTCGTAATCGTTTTCTTCCGCGCACTTTACCTCAATCTGGAATCAAACCCGCAACATTGAGCTTATCAGTGCGATGATACCTGCCCAGAAACCACGACGGATTAAGCCCCTATACTTTTTCCTGACGTAGGTGCGGCGCGACAAACCCACGCGCGTGCCGAGCTGTTCGAGCACAGTTATTCGGCCACTTCTTTGGGGCAAAAGGGCCCGGCGCCGGGAGGAAGAACAGCTCACGCTGCTGCTGCTGCGGCCATGAACCGACCGCAAGCGAAGCGGCTGCGCTGCATCGATGGTGATCTAGGTCCCGGCGGCAAGCGACCGCGGCCCTCGTGTGACTCGGACAGCCCGTCGGACTCGGACGACGAATCCACCACCGTCGCAGATGGGGTCGAGACATCTCGACTAGAAACGCCTCCTCCCGCTACTCAATGTCGTACGTGGACCTCTCTATCTTCATTTCTTTTTTTTTTTCCTTATTTCTTTCTCGCATTACACTTCTGTACTCTTGAGGTGAATGTGTAGCATGCGTACATTAAATAAGTAGCATTGGTGTAGCAAGTATGTAATTTCTTTTTCTGTGGCGAGGGGCAGAGGAGGAAACTGTCGCATGTGCTGCATGTGCGATGTAAGAATAAACATAGTGGGTCATCAAGAAGAGTGCGAGCAGATAACAAGAAATAAAAGACAGACGCTCAACAGGGCGATAATGCGGATGGCTGTTCTGTACGTTTAGAATGGGCAGGAGACACCGAATAAAAATGCATGTAATCCTCTAAGGGGTATGTAATGCAGTGATGGGTTAGAGAACTTATCGCTCCTCATCTGCGGACAAGTTCTCCTCATTACATGTTTTTGTCCCTATCTTTTCTTTTCCGCGATCAGGTCAGGTCGTCAGCTCGCCTCAAGCCCCGCTGTCGGTGCCGCCGTCTGGCGTGAAGCGGAGACTGTTTGACTCGGAAGAGAGCTCCAAGCGAATGTCGCCGGCCTTCAAGAAGTACAAGACGCGCATGCTGCAGCGATACATGGGCGCCAACCACCCCCGAGACCCTCCGGCACGCGAGACAGGGTCGACCGTCCAGACATCGAGCAAGCAGTCGCGACCAACCGCCAAGCGGCCGCGCGAGGTACAGGAACAGCATGACCGCCCCACCGAATCAAGAAAGGCTGTGCCGGAAGGTATCTAAACTTAACTCTATGTTCAAGTAAACTGTTGAGAAGAAATTGATATGCGTAGGGCATGTAGGGGGAAGGCAAGGTAACCTCTGGTATCAGATTGGATTCCGAGAGGAATCAAGAACGCGAGAGGGAGTCACTGGGCCATGTGGGCAGATGAGAGTAAGACGTTTGCAGGGATAACGCAGTCGCAAAAATGACTGGACTAGATTAATTCGGGAATAATAGGAGAGGTCATTGCCCTGTAGTCGTCAGTCAGGCTGATGATGCATGATGACACTTTGGAAAAGTAAGGTAACCTTGAAGGACAAAGTGTAATGGCGCCAGGCTGCCATGGTCGCACCCCGTCGACTGTATGTGAAGAAAGCCACATGAGCTAAATATAGACTGGTTGATGTAGCGGTAGCAACCAGCGGTAGCACGCAAGAGTTCTCAAGGTCTATTACGTACGCTCAAGCCGTAGCCACGATTTTTTTTGGGGGGGGGGGGGAGGAAGGAGGGGTGCACTTGCTGAAGGACTTGGGTATTTCAGACTACCTATTTTATTTATATTTAATAAACCCCCACTCCCACCCAATCATAATTTCAGGGGGAAAGCGCCAGCCCTTAGCCCCCTCTTCACCACTACGGGCCGGTGTATGCTGCTATGGATCGTAGGAATGTATCGACTTCTGCGCAGAACTCGTTTGGAAGCGCTGTTGTTGAACTGTACAGTGAACAAATATCTGTATGTAGTGTCCAGCCTTGCGCATACTGCATGCTTCTGCGCACGTTGAGGTAAAACGGAAGATAGTCTATGAGCACATGCTTCAGGCGATTGTTCTTTAAGAGTAGTCTCATTCGTACGAGACGTCGAGAAGTAGCAAATCGATGGTTTGGTGGTGTGCGTATGCTAGCTTTGGCCAAGGTGTCGGGCCTCGCCTCCTAGAATGATATATTGCAGTCGACTGTGCCGACATAAAAACCACATGTACCGTGTTCAACAGCTTAAAATGTAGAATATGTTTCAACTCGATAAGAGGTTCCAAGAAAAAGAACAATGACAAAGGATTTAGACAGTAAGCGAGCTGGAGATAAGATGGGTGTTGAGTGATACACAATCAACTGCGCATCGTCAGACCAGCCACAAATAATATTGATAATGATGAATTACGTTAAGTCTTTAATGCTCTTTTTGACTCGAAAATGTTTCACGGGGTCCACCGAAAAATGCAAATGGTCAAATCGCAAAAGAAAAAATCCGCCACCGGGAGTCGAATCCATGACCTCTCAGTCCGTGACAGCAATAGCCGTGCATGCTATCTACTACACGGTCTTTTTTATTATTATTATTGACTACGCCACGGTCACATATTGTAGAGGTTGTACATACTGTGAAGGCTGTACAAATGCAACTTCAATATCTCACACTTTACTCTGACAGTGCTGTTGATCGGTGGTAATGAATTAATACCATGTCCACCGTCAAAAGCTCCTGCAATGCGTCGTTGATACGCGTCCGTCCGATTCGACATGTTTTCAAAAGGAAAGCGCTGTTTCGTCAACGCCTTAAGATGACGCCAGGTAACGACCTTAGTCCGAGCATCGGCCTCGCTCATCACATCCATCCATGGTAAAGGTAGCTCTACAACGCATGCCAGTTCATCTTTGCTGTAACACCGAATTTCACGCTTACGCTCGCCCGAGCAAATCTCGGCCGGGCTATTGGCCTTGTGATCGTGGAGTGGCGCCCTCTCGCGTGTGACGTCAATTTGAGGATAACCGTGCTGCAGCCGCCGCGGCTCTTGTACGCACATCGTCCGCTCCAGACGGCAACTTCGTCAAACCATTGCCTCCTAGGTTTTCCGTGCCTGCCGGATTATCGGTGGTCACTTGAGAAGCGGCCGTCGTCGGAACTATGGTGTTGGCGCCACTTAAGTAGGGGTGTCTTCAAATAAGTTTTTTCACGTTTTTGGAGCTTATATGCAACAAAAATAACGTAAAAAAGTTTTTTAAAGGCGTAAACGTAATTGCAATTATAATTAACCCTACGTAAAAGACACCGTCATTCAGTAGACAACTCCTTCAAGACATGGCATAGCCTCTGAAATTAGTACCAAAACGTCAAAATTGCCGATCTCAAAGGCCAAGTACAAACACCCTTACCCCTACGTAGGTAGCACCGCCATAGATGACGGGCGTTTCGCGCTCATCCGGCAGGCAAGGGAAATCTAGGAGGATATGGACAATTTAACACTCTTGTGAAAGTCAACGAACGCATTCAACAGCCGTTTTCGATTGCGATTATAATCCTGTATTAGTTGCGGCCAGAAAATCTCCCAGATGGTTGACGAGTGCGCCGAAGCCACCGACCGCATTGCGGGTAAGAAAGTGAAAATGTGTGTGTGTGTGTGTGTGTGTGTGTGTGTGTGTGTGTGTGTGTGTGTGTGTGTGTGTGTGTGTGTGTGTGTGTGTGTGTGTGTGTGTGTTCGTTATCACACTTTCCGCCGTACAATACTATTTGTACGGGTGTTTTTTTTTCGATTTTCCAGTAATCGTGCCTTTCTCCAGCATCTAGAAGTATGTAGATAAAGTCTGTGAGACGTCACGGTGTCTCGTCGAGGTCGAGGCGGTGTACGACGCGGTGGCCACGTTGTTGAATGCGTGGTCGAGGCTGTCAATGGAGACCGCGTCACCATCGCGGCTCTAGTCCTGCAAACAACTGGACTTGCATACATGTCACACGACGTCTACGTCGTGATCGACTTCGGTGAAGTTACGAATGCTCGCTGCTCGTACAAATCAGGATCAGGCAATGTCTACGCGTGTAATTTAACATGTGTGAAGCAGATTGAGGCAATGTCTTCTTGTAACCTAGCATAGAAGTTATGTTTAATGCTGGTCTGCAGTTGCTGTATAGCTCATATCGCATTTTGCATTGTGTTAATGTTTCTAAATTAGGAACCTAGTTACAACTTCCAACTAATCTGCATATTTAATGTTGCCATCATTATAAAATAATAATAAAATATTTAAGTGCGGCACCAGAAATTTCTGTTATTGCTGCTATTAAAAAAAGACCATGAATGTGTTACAGCTTTAAAATATGTATTGCCATTAGAACACAAGACTGCAGGTTGAAGTGATGGAGTGCGAATTTTAATGCATGAGCCTAGGAAGGCCAATAAAATTGCAGTGTAATGTAGTTAACCTAATCGATACGTGCCTTTTAATATTTAACATCGCTCAGCACTCACCGCGGAAATAAAAGCCGCCGCACGCAGTTCTACGAAACGAAGCGCCGTGCTTTCACAATGAGTTCAAAGCGGGAGACCCACGGTTTTTCGAGCGGCGTCGGTAACCACCACACATCAGATAACCAACTCAACTGCTTCTTTGTCGCGCTCTATCACGCATGGTGGTTTCTATACGGCGCTATAGGCCTCAATATGAAAGCGCGCGAATCCTCGATATGACGTCATACAAGCTCCTCTCTAGCGCCGCCATCGGTTGCACACCAGGTTATGACGTGCGTTGTGTTATCTTGTAGTCTTGCCGTGGTATTCAACTGTATATTAACATGGCGCGAGGTGACGATGGTTAGTCGCATTTACACGTCCAGTCAGTGACGCTCTTCTAGCTGCCGCAACGCTTTCCCTAATTACGTTCTAACCGTTTATTATTAGGCTAGCACAAAGCTTTGTTCAATCATTTATTATGGACGTTAGTCGTCGCGATGAAGATGTACTGCTTAGCGTCAGCGTGGATGCATCCACGTTAAGAAATCTATAGACATTGCGGACACTAATATCCTTTTACAGCAAACATCTAACTATTCCTGTAAGAATACGTTTTACTTTCGTGTTATACAGATTCCACTCACTGAGGGACCAGCCATGCATCTTTTTTTAGCAACTCTCGATCACTGTTTGTGCAGGCCAAAGACCAGCGGCGAAGAAAAGGAAATATGTCGGCGAACCGTCCAGGTAAAAACTGTTCTTATAGATCGATATTGCTGCAAAGGCCTTGATAGCAATGGCTAATACCTTCCTCGCTAAGACACCACTTTCCCTCGACCCCGTCCCCTGTTCGCAGTGTTGCCAGTCTGCGGTGGACGGAGATAGAAGCGGCCGAAGCGCTGACTCACCTCTCGCAGTCTTCGACGCTGTGCTGGACACAGCAGCCACAACAGCAGCGCGTCTCGTAGCCAGAGTTGTCTGCGTGCTGTTATGCCTGCACGAATAATGCGCGTGATAATACCTGTCTGTGATATCGACACCATCGTTCGCCGCGTTACACCGCATCTCTTTTTTCTCTTTTTTTAAGTTTTTCTGTGTGTATTTTCATGGTATACGTCGTAGTTTACCAAAGGTGCGTAGAGCTAATAGCCTCGTCACCATAGGTTTCGGACTTTCCGCATGTGCTAGAACTTCAATGTCATGTCAAATTCGATCGATCAATTGTGGTGGACGTGCTGGGACTGGAAGAAGACACGGTGCAGAATGTTATAAAAATGGCAGAGTGCTCAATACGAAGACCCTTCACGCTATCGACCAGGCCACACAAAGGTAGCGCAAAGCTTTTGTGCGTCAAGCCGTCCGCCGGAGACACGTGTGGACGGCTGGGTGAGCGGAGTGGTGCGATTCCTGGTACGACGAGATATTTTGATGCGCAGATATTTTGATGCGCAGATATTGTGATGCTGATTTGTGATCCGCAAAGAAATAAAAAAGACCTAATCGGCATCGCAAGATCTGTGCATCAAAATATCTCGTCGGGCGTACAAAACTGGCTCATGCATTTTCCGAAAAATAGAAAAATTGGCTCATAACATGCAGGTATTCAAAGAAGCGTGTGGGCATATAAAATATGGTACAGATGTACAAAAGTACGTCAGTAGTTTAGGGGTAGATATGCGGGCATGCATATACATATATATATATATATATATATATATATATATATATATATATATATATATATATAATGTCGTTTGACAGATTGTAGAAATTCTTTTATCTGGAAATTTAGCATCTTAAATAACATTGCTTGTATTGGCGAGGTTGACCGCTTCGTGTAATTACGAGTAGCCTCTCCTCCTGTCGTCCCTGGCGCGGCATAGATTCCCGTAAACGCAGGAACAGAGGCGCTCGCGTATGCCCGAATGCGTAACACCAGCTTTATATAGCTTAAAGGAAATTCAATGTCCGAACGGGAAACTGAGTTATATGACGAACATTCTCGTGAAAGCTGGCAACCTTGTCGTCCCTGGCGCGGTATAGACTCCCGCAAACGCACAAGTTGCCAGCGTAAAGCATTGGAGTTAAGAACAATCAGCCAGACCAATTTTTTTTTCCTCTAGTCATTTCGGACTGTTGATACTTGATCGCCAACCTCTTACTGACTGCCTGCCTGGATGCCCGCATATCAACCCCTAAACTGGCCTACGTTTGCACATCTACACCATATTTTATGTCAACGCTCACCTTCGAATACCTGCATGTTATATGAGCCATTTTCATAGTTTTAGAGAAATGCACGAGTCATTTTCGTACGCTGCATCATGACATGTCTATAGTCGCTCTGCCCCCCCCCCCCCCTCTCATCCGCTTTCCCGCCTTTTCCTCCACACATTCGCCCCCCTCCTTCCCATGATGTCTTTTTTACAACTTACAGAAGTTGCAATGCACTTGCGAGGCTACAGACCCGCCTGATGGATCCGTTTTTTTTTTTTATGTGTTTACCTATACTGTAGAACCAATCACGTGAGCGCATCCTTTCTCATTTCAAGACCACGTGTGTACAGCTTCTGAGGCGACCCTGGCGTGGTCCGATCTCCCGCAATCGTGAAGATGAGTTTAAACGCATGTTATAACGTTTTGTAACCGCTTTCTTTGTTGTACAATTCGAGAATGCATGCGTCTTCAAAGAGAGCAGCTATAAGGTAATATATAAGATATGCAGGGGAGGAACATGATCTTTTTCGCATGCATATTTTTTAACAATTGCACAATTGCAGCAGCAAAGTTGGAAAGCACATAAGTGACGCCGAGAATTTCATTATGTACTATTTCTTTTTCGCACTCTCGCGCGACATTACGTAAACCCGTATTATTCAGTGCGTCGCAAGTGCGTCAACTAAGCTTAGCACGTTCACGGCAGTACATGCACCGCAAATGCAGTGTTTGTTTAAATAGATCTGCATCAACTGGGGCGTTGCACTGCTAGTCACGCGGGTAAAAGAGTGATTCCCCTATTGGGGAAGCAAAAAAAGATAAGATGAAGCATTGTGAGATGTGATAAAAAATAAACGTTGTTGCTATGCACGAGAAGTTTTGGTTGCCCAATTTTCCCGACAGGAAAAGGCCTTTACTTATATTATTAATTTCTTTTGCCATTTGCCTAAGCGATGTTATCATGGTGTAAAATTGTGGCCACTGTGAGTGCATGAAACTGCTGCGAGAGCTGGCAGAACTATGCTAGAGACTTAGCCATTTACACAGCCACTATTTATAGTTTCTTTTCGAAGTTACCTTGTCAAACGAGCAACTCTTGAGTGCCTTGTAGTTCATAATTGACAAATAACTACGTGCCACCGTTTTTATACATAACGTAAATACGTGCTTCATCTATAATCTATTTATTATACTGGATGCGTTCACACACAAGCACGTGTTTGAATTTTTCGTGCTTACCGTGCCGCCCTTCTGCCATATTAATCCGAAGGTGGTTTGCTAACGCGTTCGCACAAGTATATTGCGTTACACTGGTCTATAGACTGTAGCAAGACGCTTTGCATTTGCTGCTTCAAGTTGCTCCATTTAGAGTGAGTTTGCGTTAGTGTCGTGATACATATTGCAAATGTTCTCATCACAACACCCTTGCAACGTTTTATTTATGTCTGTATTGATGAGCATTAAAATGAACTTTTTTGTTTTGTCCATTTCACTCGGTGTCACTGCATCAGTTCGTATCATTTGCCGCAATGGTCATCTTGTGCGCAGATGGTTTTTTACGTCCACAGTTCATGCACCTGTAAACTACGCAACTATGTATTTCCTTTTGTTCTTACGAAGACTAGTAGGGGTCAGTTGTGATACGAAAACATCAATATTTGCTTGTTTGGGCAGCTACACCAACGCATCGAATGTATAGATTGATGTTGTCCGATTCTGAATAATGACACCACTTACCACCCTCTCACACACACGCATTTTAGTCTAACTCAAAGTAAAAGCTTTCTAATGTATGCAGATGCTTTCCGCGAGGGTAAACACGATTGGGCAGCTCTTGGCGTGGGCGTGCGCAAGGTTTCTTTTAGGGTGGTGGGTGAAGGCTTGTTGCTGCGGCCCCCCTCACTATTAAATTAGAGTATCGGGCAAGCTATGCACCCCGCTCCCTCTTAGGCGACAAGCCCCCCCCCCCCCCCCCCTATGGTTCTTGCAGTGGAACATCACGGGTCATCGGTAGCTATTATTGTAAAAACCTTGCCTATATCAATAATAAAACCCTTCAAACCATGATGGGACAGGTCCGAGTGCGTAATAGTATGAGGCAAACATGTTCCCGCCCCCCTCTTTGTGCGCATGTCTATGACTATCACGATGGATATTCACAGAAAAGTGGTATGCCACTCTTCATTTTAAACGACTCAGTATGACCTGCTCGATTGTTTCACAGCGGACATCCTGCAGTGTTCTAATACAGCAATGCATAACGTATGATCTGCTTTTTAGTTTATTTCCCATTAGATGTACAAGGTTACATCAAGGCAGAAAAAATATGATGCTGCGGTAATACACTGATGATATAAATTCAGCTGGGTCTGAAAAAAAGTTTGTTTTTTATAAACACTGTATAAGACGCCGGTACAGTTAAAAAAGGTTCGGTAATCTAGAACAGAAGCAAAGAATGGAGACTTATGTTGGCATCACGTTGAAGTTCCTACTTCAGGAGTGCTTGGCATCGTGGATATGTCTCGTTCAGGGCCCATATAGTTTTTGTTGGCGAAGATAAACTGTGTCGTACTCTGAAACAACCTAAGAACCAACAATTCATCTCATAAAAAATGTTTACTGAGCCACAACGGCATGAAAGAAACAAGGACTCTAAAAAATCTGTGACGTCACGACGTGCAGGCGTCGGTCTTCCGGTGCAAAGCACAACAAATGGGCCTGTGAGGTTGTTTCTTTTATTCCGTTTCACGGTCACCCAGCCGGACGAGAACCGGCGCATTCAGCATGGTATGGCCGATGGCTTTCACAGTCATTTTGCTGCAAATATAACGAAATATAGCTTCCCAAAACACACACACATTGACAGGTCGAACTGATTTCAGTATTTATTTAAGCCAGCTAAGATTAAGATAAGGCCGTGGCGGTTTTATCAGCGTAGCTGCGTGAGAAACCGCCGAGACAAAAAAAATAAATAAAACGTCACACCGATTCACTCCAGCCACGGCGAGATCTGAAGACGAAACTTGGCGAATTCTAGTGGAGGGCCTTCTGTCACCAGCAGACGGCGCTCTAGCAATCGGCTCTCCGGTGGACGACCTTCCCAGTCTTGACGACCATTTGATGAGGCTGTGGTGGCAGCCGAAGCGGTACACCAAGTGCTCCCAAGATGGCGCCTCCACCACCAGCATGTCGGCGCCCTTGCCCACCTCGAGCAAGCCGTGCGTCGAGGAGCGGCCACCAGGGGCTCTTCTGGCTGCCACCAGGGACTCTTCGAGGCTCACACACCACGCATGCCAGGTACATCACCATGGGCTGCGCCGCGAGTCGAGAACGTCAGGTGCAGTGCAGAGGCGCGGAAGTGCAGGCTTTTCAGTCCCTGTCGGACCGACCAATTGTCGCACGTTGATCAGTAGCTAATTGATTCATATGTGGGGTTTAACCTCCCAAACCCACCATAAGATTATGAGACGCCGTAGTGGAGGGCACCGGAAATTTCGACCACCTGGGAGTTCTTTAACGTGCACCCAAATCTGAGCACACGGGCCTACAACATTTCCGCCTCCATCGGAAATGCAGCCGCCGCAGGCTGGATTCGATCCCGCGACCTGTGGCTCAGCAGCCGAGTGGCGTGTACTAGACCACCGCGGCAGGGCGTCAATCAGTAAACTGGAGAACTAAGGCAAGTACAGAAGCTAGTTGGGCCAGTCAGTAGATCTGCGTTTGTGTACACAGCGCGAAGTGAATGACAAGTCGCGTGGAGGAGAAGAATGAAACAAAGGCGCTGACTCACGGCCAAACATTTATTAAAACAAACTAGACATATAGCAAATACTGCACATTTTTACTCCACC